GGGCACACTGCTGGCTCATATTCAGCCGGCTGTCAACCAGTACCCCCAGGTCTTTTTCCACCAGGCGCTTTCCAGCCACAGGGTCTCCAAGGGTGGAGACTGCATAGCCTCAATGGGCACCTTGTTCCACTGTTTCATTGTCCTCATGGTCAAAAAGCTTTTCTTTCTATGCAGCTTAGACTTCCCTTGTTTTGACTGGTGGCAGTTGTCTCTCACCCTCCCACCATGCACCACTGCGAAGAGCCAGGCTCCATCTTCTTGGTAACCTCTCCATAGGTTTTGGAAGCTGCTGTCTGGTTCCTCCAAAGCTGTCTCTTCTCCAGGCTGAACAAACTCAGTCCCTCACGAGATGTGGGCTCCAGCCCCCAACCAGCATGAACCTGCTGCTGTTGATCAGTCTTTCCTGTGTTGGGAGCCCCAAAACTGGACATAGGATCTCCTCTTCCCCTACAACACTTGTCTCCCTAGAGCAGGAGCACCACTGTGGCCCTGGCAAGGCCACACCACCTCACCTGCTTCTTCTTTGTTTCTTCGTTCACTTGTCTACACAGCTAAGATGTTTTGAGCCAGTTCTGTCGTCATTTTTGCATAATGTGTTGCACATGACAAACACTGAACAAAGAGCAACAAAGCAAGCACAGATACAGCCCTGGAGACACGGTGTGCAGAGGAATTGGAAATGGAGATAGACAGCTGCAGCTAAAGACTTGTCTGGAAAGTAGCAAGACTTACTTATTAGCGGCACTGGAGCTGAGGCCTCACAACCCATAACCAAGAGTGTTGTGGAGAGATGACCTAAGAAAGCAAGTGTCCCATCCTTTCCTAAACTCTGCTGGGACTTTTTGCCTGCTTGAGAGCCACCTTGACCCACTGCCTCCAAATCCCCCAGCTTAGGGACAGTTCAGGGGCTGAGCTTGGCTCCTCTGGTTTTGTGACGCTAATGGTTTTATCACATACTCACCAGGAACAGACTCAGCTAACCTGGCTGTGCAATATTAGGTAATGGTTTCTCTAAAACAGGTCAAAATTTAGCCCCATTACAATGTGGGTGGGCTGAGGATGAATACAACTGGGAACCTCCATCATTTTATTGCAGCACTACCTGAAAGCCTTGAACTGTAGACCTGGACTCCCTTGTTTTAGGCTCTAGAAGAATATAGACTGAATAATCTCCAAGTTGTGAGTCTTCTTTAGGTCTCCGTTACTGCTTACCATCTTCCCATTTGCCCAGTAAGGCTCTCTCCATACCCTGACCTCTTCCAGCTTTGCCACAAAAAACCCTCCCTAGCAGCAAGGAACTCTCCAGCTCAAGGCAGAGATTGTGAATCTGTTAGTTCACCCTGAGCAGTGATTTATCATTGCCAAAGAAATAAAGTACCTGGCACCTGTCACCTACCCTTGAGACTCCTTTCCTACCAGGCAGTATTTAAGAGTTAAGAGTTCATCTCACTTGCTTTCTGACAATGAAGAATTATATGTTTGACTACAGTTTTGGAAACCAAAGTTGCAAAGTTTCAGGGGTTTCCAAGATCCCCTGAGCCATGCAGCAGGAGAGATAACATCACATTTTAGCTTATATTCCACTTTGAGAACCTATATTTCACCTTGCCTACACCTCTTTACAGGCCCTCCTTTCTTGTTTTTTTCTTGTGGGACAGGTAAAAATAAAGGTGTTGCTTTTTAATGATGTGTAGACCTGCTTCCTGCTTGTTCTGGTTTCCTAAGGACAAAGTATTATCACTTTACTCACTTGGTGGCCATGTAAATGTTTTAAAGCTTATTAAGCTGCCTAACCTTGCTTTTCCATTCCATACAGGGAAAAACATTACTTAATGAGACACTGTTGAACTGAAACTTGATTTATTGACCTCCAAATTATATGAAATACCGAAGATTCCCTAGCCTTTCTGTGGTGTTTCTGACCTAGCCCATTCCATTTAAGAGGGAAATCATAAATCCATGCTGACTACTCACTGTTTTCTTCATGTTCTTCATGTGTCTGGAAATGATCTCCAGGATTAGTTGCCTTGAAGCAATGGAGCATCCCATGGAGGGATGGAGCATGCCTTCTCAGGGATGGAGGTGAGGTTGACTGGCCTGTAGTTCTGTGGACTTCCCTTTTTGCCCTTAAATGTGAATATTAAGTGGTGGTCAAACACTGGAATAGGTTGCCCAGAGAGATTGTGTATTCTCCAGCTGTGAAGATATTCAAAACCCAACTGGCCATGGTCCTGGGCAACCAGCTCCAGCTGACCCTGCTCGAGCAGGGGGGTGGACTAGGTGATCTCAAGAGGTCACTTCCAACCTCAGTGATTCTGTGATTTGCTTAAACAACCACTTTAGTTTGTTGCAGCAGCTCTTAAATATAGATCTTATGAAACATTAAGTATAGATGTGCTTCATTAATATTTTAGCAACTTCATTTGTTATCACATAAATATGATTCAGGAACACAATGAATTGTTATCACATAAACATGATTCATAAACGCAATTAATTAAGTGTGGAAGAACGAGCATCAGAGGCATTCAGTGTCTTAGCTATCTTTCTGGGTTCATTACATCTGTCCAGTGCATGGCTTCGTGTGGCCTTTACTCCAAAGAGATTCCAGCTGAAATACATAACAAGAAAGACCCAAAAAAGATGATACATAAAAAAGCATAAGACATCAAGACAACTGTATTTGCTACCACATGATGTATATGCAACTGTATGGTACCTGCATACCAGCAGCTCATTAGATGTGAACTGTTCGCACAGGCATCGTGATGGAGATATGCAAGGAGCTCATCTGAGTCAGAGAGGCAGAATGAGAAAAAGTACCACCGGGCTTGCTTGAAAATTTAACAGCTTGAAAATGGCATCTGGTGTTCAACATCTCAGTGGTGAATAGAAGGTGAGGAGGAGAATGGAAGAAGCCTTTCAAATAGAAGATGAGGCAGCTTATAGATGATCCAATAGACAAAAGCGACTCAAACAACTCAACTTCATAGCACGTGCATTGAAAGGCCTTTCGTTTCCTGCCAAATCATTTAAAAGTTCAGGTGCAGGACCATTGCATGGGTGAATGACCTGGGTTCCTGCAAGAAAAGGGAGGGAGAGACAAGGAAGAGCTATCCCTTTGCTTCCCCATGCTCTCCATTAGCATTTTCCTGTGCAATGCATG